AAATAACCTATTAAATTTAATTTTTATGCAATGCAATTGAAAATTTTAATTTTGAGCATAAAACTCAAAAATTGGATCATGTCATCACAGAAATTCATTTGTGACAATATTATCATTCTCTTTTTTTCTTGTTTATAATCTAACTTGATAGCTATAAATAAATTATTCTTGAAAAATATTTCTTATTTTTCCTTGACGGTCATAAAAATAATCCAACATATGTTTTCATCAGTATAAGCGACACTCATTCATGTGATTACATCCTACATGATTACTAAATATTAAGACATTGATCTTTTTGAATATACTAAGTGAGATACTTAAACATTGGATGTTTTGAAAAGCTATATGTTAGTAATAATTTTTTTTTTTTTGAAAATATAGGAGGCAAAATGGAAAATTTTAAAATTTGAGGGGGGCCAAACCTACTCTCGGTTTTGTCCCTTGAAAGAATGCGTGAAGAAGCCAAGTTTCTAGAAAAAAAAGTGTCATCGTTTTTACTTACAACAAGACCTTTTGTAGAGAAGAAGGAATGTGTGACGAAGCCAAGTTCGCTAAAGCCACAGGGTCAAGATCAAGAGCCTGAGGCTGAACAGAAAGGGAAGGAGAAGTCCCAACCGAGCCAGCCATCAGAGACAATTGACTGTGCAGGGGAAAGTCTACATGATGAAGGATAAAAGTCGTGTCGTCTTTAAACTGTTGAGAAACATAGCGCTTTCACCAAATTTTGAAAATCTTTAGGACGTCAAACATCTCAGTGAAGAAATTCACGTGGAATGAATGGTGGGCAAGAGAGTTGCGGCGAATGACTTCCAAAACATTAATATCAATCAAATTAGGCCGATTAGTAAGTTCAGTGTTGAGAGTGTGAGCAAAAAGGTAAGGAATTTGCTATTGACGCTGCAGCAACTATTGGCACCCTGAATCAACCCCAAACCATAATGCAAGACTCAGGGATAGAGATAAGAGAAACAAGTGTCTATGTGAGTAAAGTTGTGTCAAGTGGAGCCTTCCCAAGTTGATAGAGGAACCATAGTCCCCGATTCCAAGCAAGCCACATCAAATTAGGCCATTGACCATCCAAGTTGTAAAAAAAAAGAGAAACAATCTACAAAAAATTATTTCTTGGAAGGGGTCGTGGCAAATAAATGGTCGTAAGAAAAAGAGTCATTGTCAACATGCAGGATAGAGAACTCTAGAAAATAGGCACGAAGAATGAACCGTTGCAATGAGAAAAGGATATGAATGGATCACGTGCCAATCATTTCTTTTAAATTTGAAAAGATGAATAGAAGACCGAATTTCTACATGTGAAGGCTTGCCCGCATACTTTGAGCTTCATGGCCAATAGTGGGGTGCTAGCTAAGCATGGTGAGTATAGTGGCAAATGTTTAAATTCAAAGAATCAAAACAACTGTACGAATATGAAGTATTCAATCACATCTTTTTTTTAGAGGGCAATGTTTACACCAAAAAATAGTAATATCTAAGGATGACACGTGGAAAAAATTCGAGAGTCATGAAAGAGTCTATAAGAGTTTACACTTGACAGGGGTAGTTAAGGAAGTGAGACTCTAACAATCCCAAAAAACACGAAAACATGATATCATAAGCCGTCAGTTGGAGAAAGTTCAATACACATCTACACATCTTAAAGGGAAGAGGTCATGATTACAGGCATGATAAAAAAAGATGGTTTTGATGGTTGAAGGTTGAAGGTTATTTCCTATAAATAACGAAGGCATAGAGAAGAGATCCTCAATCAAACACAACCCCCCTATACAGAGTCAGTCTATCTCCTACTTATTTTACTTCCAGCAAGTTTACTTTAATCTTTAATCCATCATTTTGGTGATCTTTATCATTTTTATTTAATTTTTTTTCTACATTCCAGTTCATTACATTATAAGTTGGAACCCTGAGTCAGCCCCAAACCATAATGTAAGTCTCAGGGATGGAGATAAGAGAACCAAGCATCTGTATGAGTAAAGGCGCATTAGGCGGAGCCTTCTTAGGTTGATGGAGGAACCATTCTAGTCCTAGGATCCAAGCAAATGACATCTAATTAGGTCGTGAATAATTCAAGTTGTACAAAAAAGAGAAACAATCTACAAAGGATTATTCCTTGGAAAGGGCCATGACAAATAAATGGGCGTAGGAAAAAGAGTCATTGTCAACAAGCGGGATGGAGGGCTTTGGAAAATAGGCACGAAGAACGAACCATTGCAATGAGAAAAGGATATGGATGGATCACGTGTCAATCGTTTCTTGCAAATTTGAAAAGATGAGCAGAAGACCAAAAGTCCACATTGAGGCTTGGCTGCCTACTCTGAGCTTCAAAGCCAATAGTGGGGTGATAGCTAAGCGGGGTGAGTATAGCGGCAAAAATTTAAATTCAAAGAATCAAAACGAAACTCCGAATATAAATTGTTCAATCGCATCATTTTTTATGGAAGGGGGCAATGTTTTCACCAAAATATATTAAAATCTAAGGATGACACGTGGACGCAATCTAATAGTAATGAAAGAGTCCACACTTGACAAGGTGGTTAAAGAAGGGAGACTCTGAGAATTTCGAGAAATAAGAAAATATGACACCATGAGCCGTCAGTTGGAGACGGTCCAGTAAACGTCTGCACATCTGAAGGAAAAAGCCCATGATTACAGTTATGATCGAAAAAGATGGCTTTGACGGTTGAAGGTCAGCTCCTATAAATAATGAAAGCAAGGCTATAGAGAAAAGATCCTCAATCAAACACAACTCTATACAGAGTCAACCTCTCTTATACTTATTTTACTTTCAAATAATTTTACTTTAATCTTCAATCCATCACTCTGGTGATCTTTATCATTTTTATTTAATGTGAAGTACAATTCTCTTTTTATCTTCCAAGTTTAGTTTATCTGCTATTTTACATTTCAATTATCTTTCTATATTTCAGTTCATTACGTTATAAATTAAAAAATTGTTGAAATCTTTGATCCCTAATGCTCCGTTTGGTACAATAGAAAAGTGGGTGGATGAAAAGTTGGACGGATAAAAAGTTAGAGGGATAAATAAAACATCATGTTTGATAAGTAAGAAAAGTAGGAAAAATAGAAAAGTTGATGGATTAATTTTCCTTCCAACTCACCAAAATCAATCTCTGTAAAAACGGAAAGAAAGTGGATAGAAAGTTAATTATTTGTGTTGAGATATATCTTATTTGTCTATATATATTTTTATATATACATATATTATGTATACATTAATTTCATATAAAAATACAATAGTAAAATATGTGTATATTTTTTCCATCTTAACTAAAGGTGAAAATTTTCGACTCAACACGATCACACTACTCGAACTTGATACAAAAATAAACAGGTCAACTCGTAACTCGATACGAAATAATTAGTTAAATGAGTTAAGTTAGGTTTGACTAATATTCGATACAAACCCGTAATGATTCAACACGAATCTGATATGACATGACTCAATTGTCACCCCTAATTTTAACCAGCACAAAAAAAAAAATAGTCATTTTTATTTTTCATCCATCCAACCAAATGCAAAGGAAAGAAAGTGTATCCTTCTACTTTCCATCTTCGAGAGATAGAAAGTGTATCCCTCCCACTTTCCATCCTTCATACTTTTCATCCTCCTTATCGAACGGAGCATAAGACATAAAAATAACTCAAATGTAATCTTATACCTCATTATAATTTCTTAAACAGTTATGATTTTAGAACCTCGTACTGGTTTGAATAGGTAAAATCGAACATGTTTGAATCTTACATCCAATTAAACTTTAGCATATTTGTAATCCGAAAATACGTCAAATAGAATCAAATCAAATTTTTTATTTAAATATTGATTCAATACAAATAAAAATTTGAGTGAAAACTAAATGTGCTCTAACAAGAAGTGAATTATATGTTAACTAAATAAATAAATTTTGATAAGAATTTAAAAGCCGAACATGACTCGTTAATGGGCAGAAGTGTCAACGTCTTTCCTCACTCACAAGTGATCAAGTAATAGCAAAATTGAGTAGGGAGACCGGGTAGAGGGTAAATATTCAATAGAATTGTGATATTGATAGCTAGTATAACTATTAATAATAAAATATTTTATAAAACTAATACATTTTATTATTCTAATAAGTATTAATAATGAGAATCAGTGATTGCTCTAACGACAATTGCACTTTGTCGATTGTTGGTTCAAACTACACCGTTCTTTCCCTATAATAATACAAAAATAAGTATCAACAATTAAATATGCGTAATGTTAGATAGACTTAAAAATTATATTTGATAATTTTAATTATTGAATAGGTAGTGAGTCCCAATAAATACTAAGACTCACACTAAAATTAATAGTTATAATTATTAAGTTTAGTTTTTAAATTTATTTTTAAAATTCATATAGCATTGCTTATTAAACATTCCAATAACTAATGTGGTAAGCCATTGAATTATGTGATATTTTTTTTCTCTGTTAATTAATTTTTTTTAATTAATAATACCACATATTAGTAATGACTACCAAATCATCCCTACTTCGTCCGGTGGGGTCTTGTTGGGTACAAGGACTAAACCACATATAGGACCTAGCCGCTTCTCCCCGGAGTCGCTGATGGTGGTGATAGTCAAAATCATGACAAAGTCGTCCCCCATTGACTTCTACTGCAGTTCCAATCGTAGCTTTCGAACTATATTAAAAACCGCGTTGATATGTTCCTCATAAGCTAACATTCTACACTACCGACTTCTTCTTCCTACTCCTCTCTTTCTATCTTTTTTCCTTCCAGCAACCCTATATAATCATATGTGATTTTAGCTTCATAGATTGTGAAAATCTCTGCTCATCAGTCTCGTCATCCACCACACGGCACGAACAAAAAAATCGCTTACTACTCAAACTTTCTGTCAATTCGTGGTCTAAGATATTCCGACATCCACCGATTTATCCTACTTTTAGTCTTTTCCACTTCTGAGATTCAATTATATTCCCTATGGGTTGCATATTCAGCAAAAGACGTACTCACCCACCTCCCAAATTGAGCTCCGATTCGCAAATGAAACTTGGTCTTATCTCATACATGGCCGCTTGTAGAGCCAATTCAGACCATGAATCTCTAAACTCGAAGCCCCAGCAACGCACCACCCGAGTTATCAGCACTATCGCCGGCGGCGTCCAGATTCGATCTCTTTCTTTGTACTCTCTCCGAGAAGTTCCCGGTTATCTCCTCGAAAATAACGAAGAAGTGGTGAACGCAGTTCTGGGGCATAAAAAAGAAATTTGGGAAAACCCAGAACTTGTTGATCTAGTCAAGGACTATTTCGAGAGCAGTCGTAAGACTATAGATTTGTTTAGTCCCTTGAAAAATGCCTCCAACGAGCCAGCGACAGGCAGGCCATTGTTCAAGCCGCGTTAAACCAATTTGATGAAGAGCACACAGAAGGGTTTCCTGGTGAAAAATCTTCGTATTCAAAAACTTTACCAGAATTTAAGAATATACAGGTGGCCGCTGACTCATTTGATGATGAGTTTTTCTCGTCGTTTCAATCAGTTTACCAACGACAATGGAAATTACTACACAAATTGCAAGTTGAAAAAGATAAACTCGATAGAAAATTGAACTCAAAGATTGCATGGAGGAAGGCCTCAAATGTGCTATTTGGGGTCACTTTTGTTGCGGTGCTGATTTGCTCTGTGGTTGCTGCGGCCATGTCGGCGCCACCAGTGGTAACGGCTTTGGCCGCCGCGGCATCTGCATCATTGGGTTCAACGGGTAAATGGCTGGATTCGACTTGGACAAATTGTGTGAAAGTAATCGAAGAACAAAAGGAGATAATCAGATTGATCCATGTTCACACTGAGTACTATGCGATTGAGGGGTTGAAAACCATTGGTGAGCTAGTGAATAAGTTGGAAGAGTTGAAGTCGTTGTGGGGTGTGATTGATCATGGTTTGAAAAAGGAGGCGGCTGTGGTGATGGTGGTTAATGAGATAAGTAAGAAGCAAGATGTGTTTGTACGAACCGTGGGTGAGTTGACAAGAAATTACAAGAGCCAGGAAGAGGATCTTTGATCAAATTAGCCAGAATCCCAAGAGTAGCAGCTGTTGTAGCACTTTAGTATGCTTTACTCAGTGGTCTTACTCTACATCACATAGAAGAGCGGTTGCGGGGTCCAAGACCCAGAGCATAAAAGCCACAAAATTCAAAAAATAAAATTAGAGCGAAAACGCTTTTAGAATAGAAGAGAAGAAAGCGATTAAAACCTAATTTACTCATCTCATTCGTCTTATATGCATGTACAACTTTATTTATAAAAAATAAAAATTAGTCATCACTCCAATTTGAGGGATTAAATATTGAGTTGTACTATTTTTCATTTAATCGGATTTAATAGTTTGTTTGGTAAATAAATTTGATACCATATTAATTTCAAAAATCTATATTAATCGTTTACTTATTGTATATTTTTTATATAATAAATCTGTATTATGAAGGTATTTTAATAACACTAAGAGAGTTAGTATTATAATTTAAATTATTCTACACATTGACTATTATAACCCTCAATTGATAAAATCAAATTGTCATCAATATAACAAACACTAATTTGTAGTATTTTTGTTAATTCAACATTAATTCTATAAAATAATTCTCTAACCAAAAAATCGATTGAATTAAATAATTATTATTCAACGTATATGTTATATATTGTCAAATATTAAATAAAATTACATATTATTCTAATAACTTATTTAATCTTATTTATTAGATTGAATTATTTTATATATTCTATAAATTTCTAATATGAGAATCAAACGGGCTCTTAAAACATTAAGGACATGTCAGTTGTTTTTTATTTGTTCGTCCAATATAATTTAATCGTATTTTTTTTATGAGCAGGGTACCCTTTAAACTCACAGTAATTTCATTATTTTTCAAAAATATTCTCTCTATTCGTTCTCTCTCTTCCCCCACACTCTCTCTTGGTTCTCTCTCCTCCCTTGCCAGAAAGTTTCATGCCAAGATCGAGATAGATATCATAACATGTTGCTTGCATAGAGTAAAAACGTACCAAGAATCTGTGGAGTACTCAAACAGATTTCCTTTATGGGAGAAAACAATCAAACCCACTTGTCTTTAATCGCACAGCACAGAGATCTCATGAGCTTTCTTCAACAACCCAGCCCTTCTCTTTGAGAATGTCACTTGACTCACTTGTCTGTTGGTGTTGTTCTCTAAACGCTTCATCTATACCTTTCCTCTCCCTCCTCTCCCCCCTCTCTCGCCCTTAAGACCAACCCCATAGCAACAGATATCACCTCTACAACAATGCCGCAGCCGTCGACAATAGCAACAACGACAGGTAGCTTCAACGCTGGTTGTGTTGCTGTCGGTGGAGATACCAGCGGTGATGCACCTTTATTTTGCGTTTTGTTTTTATTATTTTCGAAATAGATCCAAAGTCTTCTAGGCAAGATTGCAATCATCCTCGTGCATGCATCCTTAACACAGTCAAAATAATCTTTAGTCATAAGGGCTTAGGGAGGACAGTTCCTTTTTTAGATTTATTTGAGTTTAAGTAAACTCAAAAAATTTATTTGGGAATAAATTTATTTTGATCTATATTGTCTAAAATATTTTCAATGGTTATATTTAGTCAAAATTTATTTAAAAAAACTAAAAATTCCTAATTGAAAATTGTATTATTATTAACAACTCATATCTTAGAAATTGTGCTAGAATTAAAATTATGGTCATATCAATACACACACACACACACACATATATATATAATATAAAACAGAGCGGTTTCAACAAGTCAATCTTACGGTCTCAAATTCATTCATCCAACGATCAAAAAATTACAATTGTTTTCCTTAATATTTCCTTCCCCAAATAGTCAACGATTACAGTTGATTTTTGGAACACATTCTACGGTCTCAAATTCATTTATCCAATGCTTAAAAAATTATAATTTTTTTCCTTAATATTTTCCCCCTTAAAAAGTCAACGATTACAACTGATCTTAGAATACATAATTTTCTCTGACATAATAATTAAATGGATCAAATTAGCCATTAATATCTTATGTGTACTGTAATATTTGAAATTTGTATAAGACACAATGATAACATTTTAATTAAAAAAAAACTCATCAATTTAAGATAAAACAAAAATAAGGGCATAACTTAACACATTTATATTGAATATAATTAATTTTAATTTTATTTATTTAATTAATTATCTCAAACTAACATATTTTATACATATCTTGAATCAAAAATTCAAGACTAATTTTTTTTTATATCTAAAGGAAACCCAACACTAATATATTCTTTTAAATTAATAATTTTGTAATAGCTTGTACTAATTAAAAAAATAATATTTTATAAATGATATTTGTAGATCTTTTTTTGATAGAAAATATTTTGACGATATGCTTTTTGATAAATTAAATTTTTTAGTTTGTATTAAATTTAACTCGATTTTGATTACATGTATATAAATTAACATTTGTTTTAAGTCAATTTTATAATATTTCGTGGATTTATCTATAATATCCATAATATAAAATAGAGCGGTTTCAATAGGCTTATCCTACAATATAAAATTTATTTATCCAACGGGTACCAAAATCTCTCTCAAAATCATTCATATTGAATGTTACCCTTCTTTTCTCACTCTTCACTCTTTCTCTCTAGCGATGGTAGAGGAGGAGGGGTCTGAGGCCACCCTAAAAAAAATATTTTTTTTAGTTATATAAGTTTTATATATTTTTTTGGATTAATTGGGCCCATTGCAATGATTTATGAAAAAAAAACTAATTAGATCAAACAAGTTGGGTACTAGAACAAAAATAAAAAGTTCATACTAATCTCTTAAAATTAGCAAATTAAAATTGATTATTTAAAGTATTGGTTTGATTTGTTGAAATCTCATTTAGTTCAAAAAATATGAAATACATAGTCAAATGAGTAAAATATGGAGTTTGTAATATATAATATAAAATAAGATGGCTTCAATAAGTCCATCTTACGGTCTCAAATTCATTTATCAAACGATCAAGAAATTATTATTTTTTCCTTAATATTCCCCCCTAACCGGTCAATGATTACTGCTAATTTTGGACACATCCTACGATCTCAAATTTATTCATCCAAAGGTCAATAAATTACCATTTTTTCCTTAATATTTTTCCTCCAATCGGTTAACAATTGCGACTGATCTTGGAACACAAGACCTTTATTAACATTATAATTTTTTTTTTGTTAACATTATAATTAAATGAGTTAAATTTGGCATTAATATCATATGTGTAGTGTAACATTTTGAATTTTTATAAAACATAATAATAACATTTTGATTAAAAAAAACTCATTAATTTAACAAATGAAAAAAACAAGGGCACTACTTAACACATTTATATTGAATATAATAAATTTTAATTTTATTTATTTAATTAATTATCTAAAACTAACATGTCTTGAATCAAAAGTTCAAGACAAATTTTTTTTATCTCTTAAGAAAATCCAACGCTAATATATTCTTATAAATTAATAATTTTGTAATAACTTGTACTAATTAAAAAAATAATATTTTATAAATGATATTTATAGAACTTTTTTTGATAAAACATATTTTGGCAATATGTTTTTTGATAAATTAAAATTTTAATTTATATTAGATTTGACTCGATTTTAATTACATGTATATAAATTAAGGTTCAATTTTGATTACATATATATAAATTAATGTTTTTTTAAATCAATTCTATTATATTTCGTGCAATTTATCTATAATATAAAATAGAAAAGACTTTAATAAGTTCATCCGACGGTTTCAAATAAACTCATTCAACAACTACCAACATCTCTCTGAAAATCTTTCACATTGAATTTTACCTTCCTTTTCTCACTCTTCACTCACTCTCTCTCTCTCTCTCTCTCTCTCTCTCTCTAGCATTGGCAGATAGAGGAGGGGGTTTAGGACCACCTGGATATATTTTTTTTAGTTATATATGTTATATATATATATATATTTTAGATATTTTTAATTGGACCCGTTTTAATGATTTATGCAAAAGAAAATTAATTGAGTCAAACAAGTTGGGTACTAGAACAAAAAAAAAGTTCATACCAAATTTGTTAAAATTAGCAAACTAAAATTGATTCCTTAGAGTATTAGTATGATTTGTTCGAGCTTCCTTTGGTTCAAAAATTATGAAATATATAGTCAAAAATGAGTAAAATACAAAATTTGCAAGAAGATTAAATATTATAGAATATTACTTTTATTTGTGTCAAATCTATAATATTAAATATGACAGACTTCAATAAGTTCATTCGACGATCTGAAATAGACTCATCTAACGATCTCTAACATTCATCTCAAAACAATTCACATTGAATTTCTATCCTTTTAAATCCGTCACTTTTCACTTACGTTGCACTGTGTCTTCAAACACGGGTTACCCCTAGTAGTAATATTAAACAGTAAAATGCTCAACAAAAAAATAGTAATATTAAACAGTAACACACTCAAAAAAAATAAAATTAGTAACATGCTCAACAAAAAAATAGTAACATCAAACAATAACATATTCAACAAAAATTTAATCATTGTAGAGTGACACTCCACAACAGAATAAATACTCACATATGGTGTCATTGTATTGCAATGATTAATTTTTTAATTAAGTTTTTTATTGAGTATGCTACTGTTTAATGTTACTATTTTTTTGTTGAGTGTGTTACTGTTTGATGTAACTTTTTTTTTTGTTGAACATGTTACTATTTTTTTTTCATATATATATATATGAAATTTTAAAATTTAAATGATACACAAATATCAAAAGAAGTCTTGAAAGTCTCACATTCTAATATTTAGATATTAAAAATATAAAAGCTGTCAATTAGGTATGCACTATTTATGGTATGAGTAATTATGGAGTACATTTAAAAAAGAATTTCAAAATATTTTAAAATGTGTACTTAAAGCCAAATAAGTTCTGAAAAAGATACTCATATCCCATTATCTATAGTCATAAAATCAGATATCAAGTTGGCCCAAT